AAATATTCTATTTTAATATAGCGCTTTTTCTAAAAATATATATATGAAATATGTAATATAAATAAATATGTCATTAAATTGAGAATAACTGTTGGATATATTAGCTTGTATGTTACTTTCATTCATATTTATTATTGTGATTAATTATTTAAAATTAACAAATAATTCATAAATTAATATGAATAATAGTTTTTCCTTTTCTTCTTTTTGTTTAATATATACCGATTTTATAATATTTTATATAAGAATGTAATCAAAATTATAGTGTTTATAATCTTTACTTTATCAATAAAAACATATGGAAAAGAGTTATTTTACATTATAATAATGGAACGATATAATATATACTTAAATTATATATTATTTATGTAATAAAACATATCATGTGTCCCTTAAATTTAAGAAGAACATGGAATGTAATCCCTTAAATAAAAAAAGTGTCTTCACATATTCAGATTTTATATTATTTTTATTTATACTATAATATATTAGTGCATATTATATGTGACATTTTTTTCCTAATATTCTTTCAACATATTTTATTTTTTTGCATTTTTTTTGAATTTTAAAGATATATAAATTTTCAAGACTTTATGTAGAACATTTATTTAATATATACATTTCTACGAAACGAGATATATATTATACGTTCAAATTGATTTTATAATAATATTAAATGGATGATTTTTTTGTATAATTATTTAATTATACAATTAATGTTAATATGCGAACCTTTTTAATAATCAATTTAATTATCTATTATATTCATGTATCCTAAATTGCATCGACTATACGGAATACTTGTTCTCCTATTTCCAAAAATGTTTATTAATGTAATTTCTGTTATTTCGTTATACGTATAAATTTCATATCTTGTTTAATTACCTATTACTAAAATTTAAGGATAGTTGCAAGTACAATACACCTTTATTAATAATTATGTTTATTTATGAATAAAATTAAAATACCTGGTTATTATTTTATGAACATATTTTATGAAACTTATGTGTGATATTATTATATTTTCTACCTAGGAATAATTTACATTATATCATGAAACGTATACTATGAAAACATTCTTAACATATGAGCACTGAGTATATCCATGATTATATAAAATTTATTTTTTCTTCAAAATTAAAACTTTCTATTGTCATTGACTTATCTATATGGTATTATTTGAACAAAGGAAGCAAATTCAATTCTTGTAAATTTTCTATTTTTACTTTTTTAAAGCATCCATATAAAAATTACGTTTTTACGTTACATTACATATAAGAGCTTACACAATTTAACATTCGTTAATTATTTCATGATTCTCACATCAAAATGAAATTGTGAAGACATTCATAAAAGAATTATTTTATTTTTATTGAATTCTGTATATATTTTTAAAATGTATTAAATTTTAAAAATTAAAATAATCATTGTTTCAATTATTATCATGTAGAATCTTTTCATTTTTTAGTATGCAATAATTTTATCGTTACATATTTTATATAACATATATACATATGTATATTACTACTATAATTACAGATTGTTCTCTAAAATAATAAAGCTATTGATACTTATACTGTTCTACATAAACAATTTATTACAGTTTATCCACTATACATAATCTCATATGTCTTATATATATATATATATATATTTGAATATAGTATGTGCGATGTAAATTAGTTTTTTTTACTGATACATATCCACTATATATTTTCGATGTTTTTTTTCCCCTCTATATCGCTCCTGAATATATTCGAATATAAATAAATTTATATTTATCATCTTAAATATATATTTATTTTATTTTAATAATTGTTGCACATATTTTGATTCAATAATAAAGGAACAATTTGTATTTAAAAGAAATATTAAGATATAAATATAAATTTTTTATGTGATGTTATAAAGAGTTATGTTATGTGAATTTATTTCCATAAATTATATAAATATTATTACGTCCAGGTTCATGTAGAATTGAAAAAAATTAAATTATTGTAAATGCATAATACATACGGGCAATTATATTATTAATTTAAATAGGTTTAATTGTAATTTAGACATAAAAAACGTCTAAATTTTATATACGTCTTAATGATGAATATATAGTGTGATTTGTGGTACATTACAACTAATTTATTCATCCGTAAAATATTTATGAATATAAATAAAAATTCATAAAAAAACTAAAAATGATGCATGAATAAATATTATATACAATTAATATTATAGCGCCAGCTATATATATATATTTTTGTAAAATGATATAAATTAAATTAATGTGAAAAGTAAGTTATTTTTATACTACAAATATATAAAAATAGACATGTGTAAAATGTACAAATATATTTACACATGCATTTATTCTATTAAAATATA